GAAGGGCAGAGTTGAGGTGGAAGAGTAAGGACAAGATGGGCGAATGGCATGTTCCAGTCCTAGTAAACTGGGAAAGCTGGCCTTTCTTCCTGGGAATGATGGGAAAGCGGGTCAGATGAGAGCAAAATGAAATACCAGTGGTAGTTGCTTGCTCTTTGTCCTGTCACTGCAAAATGAAAATGAAATCCAGTCAAAAAGAAATAAGTAGGCTGTATTTTTTTACTGGCTTGTTTTCAATTCTTTTAACCTTTACTTAGAAATAGCTTGTCAGCAGGTAGCTGTGTGAAACAGGAGCCAACCAACAGAGGAGGAGAGCAAAGTTTAACCATTTAATTACTGCTCAGTGAATTTTGCTGAAAACAAATCTGCAGAGTCTTGGTTCTTTGCCCAGTACAGTTATCTTGGGTGGATTTTTTTTTTCCCTGTGCAGCAAAACTCAGCAGTTGTATTTTAAAGTTCACTGCTGGGAGGATGCACTAAGGGATGGCAGAGAGTGCAAAAGAGGTAATGTGGCTTCTTTCTGCATGCAGGGGATGCGGATGGACCGATAATGAAGGAGGCAAGTGTCATTTGGGCTTATCTCATCAAGGCATCTGCTCACAATTCAGTGCTTGTAGTCTGTGTGCCAGCTGGCTGGACGTTTTCCTGATGTAAATTATCCATCCATTCTGAGGCGTCTGAATACAAGGAGGCCTTTTGTGTGCAGGGATGAATTTCTAACTTGGGGGAAAAGGGAGGAGTTTCTAAAGATCTAAATAGCATCTGCTTACATTTTTCCAGTCTATGGTTTTCAGCATGGCACATTTCCTCATGAACCTTGGGATAGAGAATTGAGTGATGACCCTGCTGAGGAAAGGGTTTTGATTGCTGATGATATCTGGCAGCTGTGGTCAGCCTGATGATGTGAGCAGGTTGTTGGGGGAAGCATCCCCTGCCTCCAACAACACTGAGTGTTTCCAAAGCTGCTGCTGCTGCCAGACTTGTTCACTTGGTTGAATATGTAATTGCAACACTGTCTTGAAGGCTTACACGTGTTCCTGCTTACTTTAGAGAAAGATATTGTGGGGTTTCCTACATCAGCCGGAATTACCAAAAAGGACTGATTATTTTGTCACCTCGTCACTTGGTGGCAAACAGCTTCATGCCTCTGAAAAGATGCAGTTTTAAAATGTGCACTCATGATTTTGAGCTGTGTGTGCTTTAGACATGTCAGGTTGTGCTTCTAAAGTGTTGAGCTCATGGTTATGAATTACTACATGTCGTCTTTCTACTGACAGGTTTTTATAATAAACATCTAGAGTTCTTCCCACAAAAAAGAACTGCTACTTCTTAATATGCAGATAGAAATATGATACTTGACACTATCAGACACCTCTAAGACAAACTGAGATAAAAATAATTACCAGCTTCTAGGAACAGGAGAACAATGACTTTTTGTCTTTCAAATGAGACCTTTTAAAACTGCCTTGCACCTGGTTATTGCTGTTGCCATTTCTCAGCATAATGGTAGTATATGTGTATTGAGCCCTGCAATACTTGAAAGCAATCTAGGCAGCTTACCTTTTCTAGAAAAATGCTCTGCAACCTTGAAGCACCCTGCTAGTTGCCAGGCTGTGAAGCACAGCTTTTACGTTCAGTATGAACGGTGGGGAAACACATTTCAGTACTGTGTCAGCTGGTCTTGGGTAAACTCTATTGTTCCAGCAGTATTTAACCACAGCAAGCTGATAAGGTGCTAGCACATAGCTGCTCTGTGTGCATTAACTGCATTCCTGTTTAATGCCACTAACAGGATTTCTCAAGTAGTTACACTGCCAGCTGAAATAAATGTCTTTTTCACCTGGGTTACTCGGTGCGGAGAGTTTTGAATGAGTTTCTGTTGGCTCACCATGTAAAACTGAAGATGAAAAAGGGAGGGCCCTTTCCATTTAGCACAAGGGATTTCTATGGAAAAATGTTTTTGTGTTGCCCAGAGCACAGTTTACACGTGTTGTGCCTTTAGCTGAGCTGGAATTTTTGCAAGGAACTGTAGGAGACCTTGTTGGGGAACAGGGACCATAATACAGTTGTAGTGGAGAGGAAAAAAAAAAAAAGTTATTTTTTGGAACATGTAGGCTGTGACCTGGCCTTTCTGCTATAGCAGAAAAGTGTGTGTGTGTGTGTGTGTGTGAGAGAGTGAGTGCCTGCCCCCCCCCCCCCCCCCCC